AGATGACTCATGGCACAAACCCCTGGATCAAAGACAGGCAGTGACCACAAGGACAATAAGGAAGTGGTCACCTGAGGCTTTAGAATCACTGAGGGGCTGTCTGGTGGCTATTCAATGGGATGGCCTGTGTGAACCACACGGTGAGGATGTTGATGCAATAACATCATGCATCACTGACTACATCAACTTCTGTGTGGACTCTGTTGTACCCTCCAAGACTGTCCGATGCTTTCCCAACAACAAACTCTGAGTTACCAATGACTTAAAAACCAGAAGAAAAGAGCATTTATGGCAGGAGACAGGGAGGAACTGAAGAGGGAACAAACGAGCTTAAAACCTCAATTAAGAAGGCCAAAGAGGAGTACAAGTCCAAGCTGGAAAACAAACTAGAGCTGAATAACACTCTTGATGTCTGGAGAGGCCTAAAAGACATCACTGGCTTCAACCAATGTAGCCCTATTCCAGCAGAGGGTAAGCGTGAAAGGGCAAATGAGTTAAACCAATTCTTCGTGCGGTTTGACAATGAATCCTCTCCTGCCCCATTGTGTCTGTCTCCTACACAGATTAACACACTTACACAACAATGCCATGGGCCATCCACAACCTCACCTTCCTCCACCTCAGCCATTCACACCCGTGACCATCAGCAACTACTGTCTGCAATGGACGCCTCTCACCCAGCCCCCACAATTGAGTTCAGTGATAGTAGATTCACTGCTGATCAGGTAAAGAAGAAACTGAAAAAAGCAAAATAAAGCAGCAGGACCTGATGGCATTGAATCTAGGATGCTGAAACTGTGTGCAGAGCAGCTATGTGGAATTCTTTAGCACATCTTTAATCTGAGCTGCAGCCTGAAGACAGTCCCAGTTATGTGGAAAACATCTTGTATGGTTCCTGTCCCCAAGAAAAGGCAACCCACACCTCTGACTTCAGGTACAACACAGAGTCATGTCATCTGTAAAAATTCTCAGGTGACACATTGTGGGGTGCATGAGGAATGGATAGGAGGAGGAATACAGGAAGCTGGTGAAGGACTTTGTTGACTGGTGTAAGCTGAACCAGCTGCAGCTAAACATCAGTAAGACAAAGGAGACGGTGCTGGACTTAATTCTTAAGTCTAAACCTGCCTTGTCACCAGTCACCATTGATGGAGTCGATGTGGAGGAGGTTGGGGACCTACAAGTATCTGGGTGAGCACTTGGACAACAAGCTGGACTAGAGCTGTAACACTCTGGCGGTGTACAAAAGAGGCCAAAGCCGTCTATGCTCCCTGAGGAGGCTGAGGTCTTTGGTCTGTGTACTAAGCTCCTATGGACATTCTACCAGTCTGTTGTAGCAAGTGCTTTATTCTATGCTGTTGTGTGCTGGGCAGCAGCATTAACAAAAGTGCTCTGAACAAACTAAACAAACTTATTAGGAAGACTTGCTCTGTTGTAGGAGTCAAGCTGGACTCTTTGAAGGCTGTAGCAGAACAAAGGACGCTCAACAAGCTGTAAGCCATCTTGGACAACACCTCACACCCCCTGCATGCTACACTGGAAAAACAGAGAAGCACATTCAGTGGCAGGATGTTACAGCTGAACTGTGTTAAAGAGCACCATGTAAGATCTTTCTTACCCACTGCTATAAGGCTCTACAACGAGTCTCCTTACTGCAGAGATGGTACTGATCTCCTGCTGTCTGAACTGTGCTGAATCACATCACCTCTCCTGTTAATACACACTGTGCAATATATCATTACTGCTACTGTAATGACAGTCTCACTGTGCACTTTACACTGTGATATTGCTGCAACTCCTAGTTATGTCTACACTCATTGTGCTTTTAGACTACCTCATACCACTGCCTGCTATCATGTAAATACAACAAATCTGTCTAATATGCTATGTAAATATGCAAACAGAGATACCACTATTTCTACTCTCTTATACTTTAACTTATGTCTGTTTTTATTTCTGCCTAACTTATGTCTATTTTTATTTCTATTATTTATTTTCTGCATAGTATATGTATGTGCAATTATATGCCTTGCAACTGAAACAGTGCAATTTCCTTTTTGGGGTCAAAAAAGTTCTGCCTTTCTTTCTTTCTATCCATCCTTCCATCCATCCATCCATCCATCCATCCATCCGTCTAACTAACTAACTAATTAACTAAGCACTTCCTGAACTGAAGTGGTGTGTTACAGCAGGAAAACACTACAATGTACCCCCTGCCCTGAACATTTCATCATTATCCCTGCTCACAACAACGTGTTTCACATAAGTGGCTTGAAGAATCAATGATAAACTGATATAAGCTAGATTTGATAATCTTATTAACCAAGCTCGCGTTAACTCTGTTTCAAAAACATGCTTTACGATTTGATAAAACAATCCAGCATTCAGCAATTTTGGTTCCTCTCTGTGACATAAAAGGGAGATAAAATGATATATGAATGGTCACAAGACATACAATATCAGCTGAACTTGACAAAAGCTGTACTTTTTTAAATGGGTACATTTACATTAGAATTTTAAAATGAATCATTTTGTAATGTAATTGTGAATTTACATTATGGTACATGCACAACAATGTTTACTAGAATTCATAAGATTACCACACATCTTTTTAAAATAAAAATTTAGAAGGATCGAAAAATGCTAAAATTGCTGAAAAATATTCTGTTTTATTGTTACATTTACCCCAGTGTCATTGGTGTAAAGGATGTTTGGGTAACATCTTTCCTTTCAGAAGACTTTAAATTAACAATTACTAAGCTAAGGTGCCACTACCACCTAACTAAATAAAGTAACATCTCGGACCAAGACAGGCCTACAGAGCCTTAAAATGAGAAACAGAGAATAAAATCCAGTTATTGCATAAGCAGCTGGAATCAGTATATTCTGACAACCATGTCCACTGAAAGTGTGATGCACTGAATTTACTTGATTCCAATGTGTACAATATTTCCACATTAATAAAGTATATCACACCAACACACTTACTGCCAGAGGTAACTAAACTGAAAGATATAAAAGACAAGATATTTAATGTTGTACCTTCACAACTTCATTGTTTTTACAAATATACACTTATTCTTAAACTAATGCCTGCAACACATTTCCAAAAAAGGTGCAGACCGAATACTTTTCTGTTGGTGCGGACGGCTAATTAGCACGATCAGTTATTAAAGAAACAAAAGCTACCGAGAGCAGCCCGTGCAACACAGATTAATCTATGTCTGAGGACTATAACAAAACAAATTTGGGTTGAGTAATAAGGAAGTTGTGGCCAATTTAATCCGGAGAATTCATCACCTCCCAATACCAGTGAATTTGTTCACAAGCGGATCTTGTCCAGAATAAAACACCATTGTTAATCTACAAAAAAGGTTTAGCCTACTTAAGCATCGAAAATGGTTTTATTTGAAAAGGAAAAAATATATGTGTGTGTGTCATATATATATACACACGACATACACACACATATTTTTTTTTCTTTTTTCAAATAAAACCATTTTTATTTGTACACCGTGACCCAGAAGGATAAGCGGTTTAGATGATGTGTGTGTGTATATGTATGTGTGTATGTATATATATATATATATATATATATATATATATATTTGTATGTATGTATGTATGTATGTATGTATATACACACAGTTTTCTTGTCTCTAACAGCTCATTCGCCACCCTGCTAACGTCTAATAATGTAGATGTTAAAAAAAGGGGGGGCAGGTAAACCCTAGACTTCAATGGGAATCCAATTGCATAACTGCTGCAAACAGTTGCTAATAGTTCTGTGTGATTAAAAAACAACAGACCAGAACTGATAACCTCTGACACTGTCCTCGTGGCTGTGTTCTCTCTGCCCTGCTCTACACTGTGTATACTCAACTGCATTCACAAGCATGACACAAACACCATCAACATTGCTAAGCATAGCATAAAAGCAGGCCTCATCACCAATAATGATCAGGAATTGAAACTCCTCACAGTTGCAGTGTTCTGACAAAAACTTCTACCTCATTGTCTATGAAACTAAGAAGATCATTGTTGACTTAAGGTGAGAGGAGAGAGAGCCAACACCCCTGAACATTATGAACACCAACGTGGAAAGAGTGTGCCACAGATGACTTCATATGGAAAATTAACACCTCATACCAGGTATTAAAAAAGGCCAAAAGATGCTTCCACTTCCTAAGGAGGCTAAGCAGAGCCAACTTGTCCCTCAGCCTCTCACCGTTTCTACAGGTCCACGGTGGAGCGCATATTGACTAGCACTACGACTGACAGGGTGAAAACCAGTCAGGTCATAACCAGAGCTGCTCTGCCACTCGTACAGGATACTTATCATGAGATAAAGCAGCATCGTATCAGACCCCACACACTTAAGCCACAGCTTGTGTCACTCTCTACCATCTGGAAAGATATACCGGAGCATCAGTGCCTGAACCATCAGACTAAAGAAGAGTTTTGACCATTATACAATGAAACTGTTCGCAACTAGAACACTTATCTGATTGCAGAGAACCATAGTCACTCAAAAATACTTTAGACCGTTCGCACTCATTGTTTCTATCGACCCCAGACATAATCAGCCACTGAAACATAAAACACGGCATTACAATCACATTCGTGTTATTTCAAAGAATCAGCTGACTGCATGTTGCTGTTTATTGTTTATTTGGAAGACTACGCGCCTCAGTACAACGCCCACAATGTTTCAAACGATAACACAACAGCTCTTGGACCGAAAGAACTACCAGTTTCATATTAGGGCATCGTTAACGGACCAATCGTTTACACAAAGGTTTAGGTTAACAATTTGTCTGGAACCACAGACTCGACACAGACTATATCGTAGTCTTGTGCCTAGCGAAACGAACTGTTACATAGAAATGATAATATAACACATGTATAACATTATGTTCAGTTATGTCATACAATAAGGTTTAAATATTTGCTCAGCCCAAACAAGATGATGAAATTTGTTCTAATTAAACAAACCTTACATCGGTAACATCCATCCACGATCCGTTTTGAATAACTTCCTGGTGAGCACGTGAGTCAGAGACCACAGCCGGTTTAGGAGGAGCCAGGCCTCTTACTCTTTCTCCCGTTTTTTCAAAAACATGACTGCAAAACGCCAGAGGGCGCCCGTGAGCGCCAGATGACGGACGGAGGTGGCGGTTCTTACGACGGCAGGACCAGACACTGCACCGTCAGTGTTATTAGCGAGTGGCTTTTGGATTGATGTGCAAAATTTTGTAAGAAGAAAGCCTGGACACTATATTACGTTGGATGTTTCAGATGTTATTATTTTTTTTTCTATTGACAGATTAGATGTTAAAGTATTTCCTCTTGTACAATACTTAATTATTATAGGTAAATATCATTTACATAAGAAGAGATGGTCTGATTATAAGCCAAACCTTTGCACATTTCCTCCACGAGCTTAAGGAATATGGCACTTCTTTCAAAAATATAAAAAGCAAGAAACCAAAAAGGACTTTGGAATTATACATTGATCATGATTTATTCAATGTGTAAACACACCCCTGGCTGTTGGTTGTTGTAAGTTATGTTGTATAAATCCTACAAAAACAACAACAACAATGCTACTACTACTACTACTACTACTACTACTACTATTACTACTACTACCCCTACTATACTACTACTACTACTACTACTAATAATAAATATAGCCGCAAGCGGCAATGAGCGGGTTCGAGCACGCAACAGCAGTACGGGCCCTTCTGCAGGTTTAGCCCATTAGGCCTAAAAAGGCCTCAAGCTTCTGGTTTAGGCCATTAGGCCTAAAAAGGCCTCAAGCTTTTGGTTTCGCCCATTAGGCCTAAAAAGGCCTCAAGCCTTCTATTATATTAGGCTTAAACAGGCCTCAAGCCTTTGTATAGTAAGTCTTTGTATAGTGAAATCTTTGAAAGAATAAGCCAAAATAAAAGACAAGCAGTGCAATTTTTGACATAACATGTAATTAGAAAGTTGTTCATCTTAGTGGACTGAGTCACATGACACCAATAGTTTATATGTGGACCTTGTAATAACATTGTAATAGCATTTTCATTGATTTTTCAGTGTTTTTGAGTGCTGAAGCACCCCCAAAGGCCAATCTGGACCAAACTTGGCATACTCCATTAGAATCTCAATATCTACAAATCCTCAAAGTTTGAACATGATCCGACCAATAACTGATGAGTTATAGCTAATCAAGCTAACAATGCCACGTATGCAGGAATGTAGTGATTAATCCACATGACCCTGAGTAGAAAAGTCAAAATGTTTTTGATAATTATTTACCTACAGATGCCAAAGAATTGTTCTAGACCAACTTTGACAAGATTGGATCAAAATCCAGAGACTAGTTCGAAAAGTAGGGTTTTCAAACATTTATCGATTACAAAAAAACGATACAGATTTTTAATAAACATGTATTGGCAAAATTGTTTGTCCCACTGTATTATAATAGGCTCTAGGTGGAAATTGTAATAATATTGTAATAACATGTAATAATATGTAAATTTTTGAAATAGCGCCCCCCAGTGGTCAAATCTTTTGAAACTCGACTGGTTGTTAGAAAGTGGCTACCTATAGACACCAGTCAAGTTTCGTCATGATTGGTCAATGTTAAGCCTGTCAAAAGGCCTGCTGAATGCTTATTGGCCGATGGCGACCACAAATTTCAATGTATCCAAATGTCCTTATAGTCGCACTTGTATTCTGGCCCAATGATGCTGGATGCAAAGTTTGAGCTTGATAGGTTGTACGGCTACAGAGAAAATGCCCTGTTTTTGTTGCTCCGCCCCCTAATTACTTATGCGCACAAAAATCGAATGGCTACCTCAGAATGGGCTACTGACATGGCCTGTGAAGTTTGAAATTTTTTGGCTGAAGAATTCTTGAGTTACAGATTTTTCAATTAATTCTGAATTATTTTGAATTTATCCAGAAGGGTTCATTTGCATATGGCAGCCATGTTGTATGGAAAACTTAAAATATTTTTGATAATTATTGACCTTGAGGCTCTTCTGAATTTTTTGACACTAAAAGCATGAGGATTGGTCAAAAATTGTAGGACTAGTTCGCAAAAGTAGGTTTCGCATATTTCGCAGTATTGCGAAAAATCTAAGTGGGCGGAGCTAAATAATCAAAATAGCCAAAAGGTTTATTTGGACCCATAGAATCAGGAAAAAAATATGGCTTGTCTGGCAAAAATCTAGTTTAGGAGATATAGACCCTAACGCGTTGGCCTGCGCTGTAGCGCCCCCTTGTGGCCGACTGGGCTGATTCCTTGCGCCTGAGTAGCGGGAGGGACTACTACCTATTGACCAAGTTTGGTGTCTCTAGGACTTACGGTTTGGGCTGTGTGTTCCGTTTCATGGCAGAAAAATAATAATAATAAATATAGCCGCAAGCGGCAATGAGCGGGTTCGAGCACGCAACAGCAGCATGGGCCCTTCTGCAGGTTTAGCCCATTAGGCCTAAAAAGGCCTCAAGCTTCTGGTTTAGGCCATTAGGCCTAAAAAGGCCTCAAGCTTTTTGTTTCGCCCATTAGGCCTAAAAAGGCCTCAAGCCTTCTATTATATTAGGCCTAAACAGGCCTCAAGCCTTTGTATAGTAAGTCTTCGTATAGTGAAATCTTTGAAAGAATAAGCCAAAATAAAAGACAAGCAGTGCAATTTTTGACATAACATGTAATTAGAAAGTTGTTCATCTTAGTGGACTGAGTCACATGACACCAATAGTTTATATGTGGACCTTGTAATAACATTGTAATAGCATTTTTATTGATTTGTCAGTGTTTTTGAGTCCTGAAGCACCCCCAAAGGCCAATCTGGACCAAACTTGGCATACTCCATTAGAATCTCAATTTGTATAAATACTCAAAGTTTGAACATGATCTGACCAATGAATGTTGGGTTATAGCTAACCAAGCTAACAATGCCACGTATGCAGGAATTTGGTGATTAATCCACATGACCCTGAGTAGAAAAGTCAAAATGTTTTTGATAGTTATTTACGTACAGATGCCAAAGAATTGTTCTAGACCAACTTTGACAAGATTGGATCAAAATCCAGAGACTAGTTCGAAAAGTAGGGTTTTCAAACTTTTATCGATTACAAAAAAACGATACAGATTTTTTAATAAACATGTATAGGCAAAATTGTTTGTCACACTGTACTATAATAGGCTGTAGGTGCAAATTGTAATAATACTGTAATAACATGTAATAATATGTAAATTTTTGAAATTGCGCCCCCCAGTGGTCAAATCTTTTGAAACTCGACTGGTTGTTAGAAAGTGGCTACCTATAGACACCAGTCAAGTTTCGTCATGATTGGTCAATGTAAAGCCTGTCAAAAGGCCTGCTGAATGCTTATTGGCCGATGGCGACCACAAATTTCGATGTATCCAAACGTCCTTCAATGCACACTTGTAGAATGGCGAGTGGATGCTGCTTGCAAAGTTTCAGCTTGATAGGATGTACGGCTGCAGAGAAAATGCCCTGTTTTTGTTGCTCCGCCCCCTAATTACGTATGCGCACAAAAATCGAATGGCTACCTCAGAATGGTCTTCCGACATGGCCTTTGAAGTCTGAAATTTTTTGACTGAAGGATTCTTGAGTTACAGATTTTTAAATTAATTCTGAATTATTTTGAATTTATCCAGAAGGGTTCATTTGCATATGGCAGCCATGTTGTATGGAAAACTTAAAATATTTTTGATAATTATTGACCTTGAGGCTCTTCTGAATTTTTTGACACTAAAAGCATGAGGATTGGTCAAAAATTGTAGGACTAGTTCGCAAACGTAGGTTTCGCATATTTCGCAGTATTGCGAAAAATCTAAGTGGGCGGAGCTAAATAATCAAAATAGCCAAAAGGTTTATTTGGACCCATAGAATCAGGAAAAAAATATGGCTTGTCTGGCAAAAATCTGGTTTAAGAGATATAGACCTAAACGCGTTGGCCTTCGCTGTAGCGCCCCCTTGTGGCCGACAGGACTGATTTCTTGCGCCTGAGTAGCGGGAGGGACTACTACCTATGGACCAAGTTTCAAGTCTCTAGGACTTACGGTTTGGGCTGTGTGTTCCGTTTCAGGGCAGAAAAATAATAATAATAATAATAATAATAATAATAAGAAGAAGAAGAAAAATCCGCACAATTCCAATAGGGTTCTACGCACTTCGTGCTTGAACCCTAAATATAGCCGCAAGCGGCAATGAGCGGGTTCAAGCATGCAACAGCAGTACGGGCCCTTCTGCAGGTTTAGCTCACTAGGCCTAAAAAGGCCTCAAGCTGTTGGTTTAGGCCATTAGGCCTAAAAAGGCCTCAAGCTTTTGGTTTCGCCCATTAGGCCTAAAAAGGCCTCAAGCCTTCTATTATATTAGGCCTAAACAGGCCTCAAGCCTTTGTATAGTAAGTCTTCGTATAGTGAAATCTTTGAAAGAATAAGCCAAAATAAAAGACAAGCAGTGCAATTTTTGACATAACATGTAATTAGAAAGTTGTTCAGCGAAGTGGACTGAGTCATATGGCACCAATTGTTTATATGTGGACCTTGTAATAACATTGTAATAGCATTTTCATTGATTTTTCAGTGTTTTTGAGTGCTAAGGCACACCCAAAGGCCAATGTGGAGCAAAAGTGGCAGACACCATTAGAGTCCAAATATGTATAAATCCTCAAAGTTTGAACATGATCTGACCAATGACTGGTGAGTTATAGCTAATCAAGCTAACAATACCACGTACGCAGGAATTTAGTGATTAATCCACATGACCCTGAGTAGAAAAGTCAAAATGTTTTTGATAATTATGTACCTAGAGATGCCAAAGAATTGTTCTAGACCAATTTTGAAAAGATTGGATCAAAATCCAGAGACTAGTTCAAAAAGTAGGGTTTTGAAACATTTATCTATTACAAAAAAACGATACAGATTTTTAATAAACATGTATTGGCAAAATTGTTTGTCACATGGTAATACAATAGGTTGTAGGCGAAAATTGTAATAATATTGTAATAACATGTAATAATGTGTAATTTTTTGAAATAGCGCCCCCCAGTGGTCAAATCTTTTGAACCTCGACTGGTTGT